TTTTGATGTCCTTGTGTGTGTTAATGGTCCCACGGACGTGGGATATATGTTACTGAAACATAGTAAGTAACATTACAATTAGCAACCTGGCAACGTTCTTGGGATCACGAACACGCACAAGGACATCAAAAACCAGGGCTGGCGTGCTCTGTAACTGATCGGTGTACGCTTATCTACTGATGTATAGTCCCGATCAACAACCGGTAAGACGTCGTGCCCGTAGCCTAGTGGTTAAGGCATTGGCCTCTAACTAACAGGGTCGCAGGTTCGAAACTCGAGTGTGGCGACAATTTCCGCTGCTACACTAGAGTTGGGTATCTCCAGCTGACGACGACTAATAAGCCAGAAAAGGCCTTCCTAGAAGTCCCTGTCTTGACTGTAAAGTGTCCTAAAAGGATGAACTATGTATATAAGGATGCGCAACCTCGCATATCCGGTCTGTGTGTTGATTGGTTACTTCTTCCAGAAGCGCTTCCCTGTGTTAAAATGCTGTTTTTAGTATTCTTTTGCTGTAGATTGTTTTTGTTTTGCTTATTTAATTTCCGTTACCATTGGATACTTTTGCATGTTTACAGTTTGTAGTTTGTATGTCGTTGTCGTTTTCTTTTATTGATAGGTTTTGGCTGGTCTGTTTTGTGAAACCGCTGTCGCCTTTAAATATTTTTTAGTAAAACTACATCCACGTTTTCCATAGCCTGACTTCCCGCGCGCACGACAAACAAAAGATAAAGTTGTCGGGAAGTCAGGCTACTGAAAACGTGAAAGTGGTTTTAGTACCATTAGCTGTTTCAGTATTGCTTCCTTATTAAAAACGGAAAGCCATAAACAATGAAATGGTAAGAAGAATGCGTAGCCGTAGGTAAAATTTGGATGGATACGGGAGTTTTGTGATTCGGTTGCATTTCGTGCAGTTTGATTTTGGATTGTTTTCCATCCAGCTAAGTTATAATACAGAGTGGTAAGGGCAAAATATATCACTCAACAACTTTTCTAAATGAACAAATGAAATCATCTACAATGATGTAATAATAAAAAGCCATCTAGACGAATTGGCCAATTAACGCACAGAACGGATGAACAAGGTTGCGCATCCTTATATGCATATTTCATCCCCCGTACTAATAGCATGTATCTAGTTTGCGCGCGCACAAGTTCTTTTCGCTTAATTGGCTTTCTTTCTGCGTCCGACGTTTGCTCTGTAAGTCTGTGCAAGTAGTATACCTATGAGTTTTTACTGAGCGCTCCTCGTGGACTTATACTGACGTTCTCTGCGCCCG